CCTGAAGGTTCAACAGCCATCGGGACAATTGTCCCGTTGGCTGGAGGTCCTCCAGGAATTCGATTTTGACACCACCTATCGTAAGGGCATTCGCCACACAAATGCGGACGCTCTGTCGCGCATGCCAACCACCTCCGAATGCGCATGCCTCCTGGGGTCGGGGCGTTGCAAGCCAGCTGGGGACATGACGGTTCCAGTCCTGGCGGCCGCCGCCGATGTTGACACATCGCTCCCCGATGAGATCGGGAAACAGGGAAGGGATTCCCTGCTTGGGTTGCCTGTGATTGAGTGGGGACGCCTCCAGATGGAGGACGCCTCCCTCCTCGCGCTGCGTCGTCGCGCTAGAGAGAGGGGGTGTGGGACGGGTGATGCAGACAATTGGGAAATACACGCAGGCTTGCTCATGCATTGGGACGGTAAATCCCACCGTCACCGGCTGGTAGTTCCTGAGGGGTTACGGGGTAAGGTGGTGTGGGCTGCTCATGAGCGCCTCCTCCACCTGGGTACCCAAAAGACCCTCGCCTCGCTCCAGCTGGATTTTTTTTGGCCGGGCATGACACGGGATGTCACGGATCTGCTGGCAGCATGCCCCCGGTGTGCGCAACGCAAACCACCAGCTCGGGAGTCGAACCCGCCGTTGCAGTCCATCACAGTCTCCAGGGTGAACGAACTCGTGGCGTTGGATATCCTGGGGCCGTTTCCCGCCACCCCTAGGGGCAATAGATATTTGCTAACAGGGGTCGAATACTTCACACGCTGGCCTATGGCCTGGCCCCTGGCAAATCAGTCGGCAGCAGCCATCGTGGACGCCTTTGTCCAAGGCTACGTCATGGACAAAGGTGCTCCGGAGCGGCTGCTGACCGACCAGGGTAAAAATTTTTCCGGGAACCTCCTCAAACAAGTCTGTGATCTCCTAGGTACAAAAAAGATTCGTACCTCTCCCTATCACCCACAAACTGACGGGATGGTCGAGCGTCTGCATCGTACCATCACGTCTATGTTGTCGCACCTGGTTTCGGAGTCACAGACCAATTGGGACTTGCAAATTCAAGGGGTCCTGGCAGCATATCGATTGGCCCCCCATGCTGCCACGGGATTTTCACCCTTCTTTCTCATGTATGGCCGCGAACATGACCCACCTGTTCGGGCGCAGCTGCAGATCCCCGCGCCTCTAGGTAAGATAAAATTGGACGAGCACGTTAAATTTAATCTTCAAAAGCTAACTGAGGCGCGGGACGCTGCCATGCTCAATTCCCGCATGCGCCAAAAGGCGAACGAGCGCCTCAGACTCGCGCGCGCGCACGTGCTGCAGTGGAAGCCAGGGGACAGGGCATGGCTGCACTGTCCCCAGGTACCGCTTGCGACCTCCTCGAAACTGGTACGGCCATGGCGGGGCCCCGTCGAGGTGGTCGAGGTTTTGCGACCGCAGTGCGTTCGTATCAAGTGGGGGAGGCGCCGGTGGTTCGTTCACCCCTCTAGACTAAAACCCTTCGTTGCGGTGCGGGGCTCTGCTCCACACGCGCAGGGCCAAGCATGTGAGGGGTCGACCGACCCGGAGGGTCCGCCTCTGTTGATCTCGCCTGACGTCTTGCCGGTTGCCCCGCCCCCAGGTTCTCCCGGAATGACGGGCTCGCGCACGTCCCTCACGGGGGATGCCAAGGGTCCCGCCGCTCCAATTGCGGACTCGCCTCGGATGGGTCCGCGGCCACCGAGTGGTCCGCCATCTGAGGTTGGCCCTTGTGACGGGCCTGCGGCAAGGACGCGCGCTAAGATGCGCAGACTCTTATAAAACACTGGAACGCGAAGAAGAACTGGAAACGAAACGAAAATGAGAAAATACTTTTTTTTATTTTTTTTTGCCGTTTTCTTGTACACTTTCGTGTGCTATGGTTACTGGGCGCCGCGGTCGCGTGGCGCTCTTGGCGCGTTGTTGTATTATGGCTGTGGGTGTGTGTGTGTCTTGTGTGCGTGTTGTGTGTGCGCTGAGGGTTCCGGGAAATGTACATACCTTGCCTCTACGGATTTCGTATTTATTCGGGGGGGGGGCGCGTCGGTTTGTTCTCCCTTTAGGGGCATTGTTAGTATTGTTGTTCAAATCTCGTTCTGTTTAATGAAAAAATGGGGCACACGGGGGGGGGGGTCAAGGGGTAAAGAATTCGTTGGTTAAATTGTTGCAGCCGGGACGGCTGCGAGCTATGTGGGGGGGAGTGATGTAGGGATGTTAGATAGAGGGCCGTTATGCATGGCAGCCTATGGGAAAGAAACACAGTAGGCGGGGCTACGTGTGTGCACAGGGAGATGCCCTCTGCGACGTCCGAGCCAGACACCCTGGGGGGGGCTGGTTCGGCGTTACGATCCCCCGGGGCCCCGCCCCTCAAGGAGGGTCGGGTATAAAAGGGGTCGTTATATGGGCTTAGTCAGTTATGTTATAGTTAAGCTAAGAAGTCGGAAGACGTCGTAGCTAGAGCCCTGGACTCCCCCTGATCGCCGCCCTTGTCAGGGCCCCACGGGATCAGGCCCGAGCCAGCGGCGTGGTCCCGTGAACCAGAGCCAGTGCTCTGGGACTCCGGGTACCGAAGCCCGATTACCAGTGTCGGGCCAGACAGCCTCCCCTAGCTCTTAGTGGAGGACTCAGGGGATAGGCTATGGATAGCTAGGGGTATTCCCTGAGTTATACGGGTGAGGGGGCCGCTACCCCCTCTAGTGCTGTCCTGTACTGGCAACTTGTTAAATAAATATACGTGTGCCTCAACTCCGTTGTCAAGCGTCCTCGACGGGTACTTCAACTGTATTACTATACACCACCATATACCTTAGACTATACATTGTAATATTACACTATGTATTATTCTACCTACCCTACTGTATACCACACTGCTGTATATTCACTATACAATTACGATACTATATATTACTTTATACATTGTATAAAAATTACACTTTTATACTATTTATTATTATACAATCTGCTATACACTATACCATTGACCGTCGCGTGAAAGGTACTAAGAGGAAGCAACGAAATATGTCAATGGGAGGACATCCTCCACGGAGCTCAATAACAAAATACAAACGTGGACGTCAACTTTTCTGATGTTATCTTCAAACAGGCCCTCATCCTCCTTCACGACAAACTGCACTCCATTGCTGGGAAATACTTCACGTCTATGGGACCACCAACACCCTACAGGGACAACCTGCATGCCCTTGCTCAAGAGATCCTACGTGAAATATGATATTATGCTTTACAGCTTCTTACCTTTATTTAGGAAAATTAACCAAAGCTGATGGATGCACAAATAGAAGCATACACGGAAATCTTGGAAGACATTGAGACTACAAATCGAGTCATTTGTATCCTTGATGCACCTGCCAGTACTGGGAAGACCTTTGTTTTAAAACTGCTCCTCGCAAATGCTCGCCAGAGAGAGAGAATTGCTCTAGCTGTGGCATCATCGGGGATTGCTGTGTAAGTCGATGTGTGAGTCGATGTGTGTCAGTCGCTGTGTGTGTGTGTCCAAGTGTGTGCATGGCTTCATGTGAGTGTGTAAGTCGCTGTGTGTGTGTGTGTCTATGCGTGTCAGTTGATGTGTGTATGTACGTCGATGTGTGTGTGTTAGTCCATGTGCGTGTTAGTCCATGTTTGTGTAAGCCAATGTGTTTGTGTGAGTCGATATGTGTAACTCAATGTGTGTATCTAAAGTCCATGTCTGTGTGAGTCCGTATGTGTGTGTAGGCCAATGTGTGTGTGTCTATGTGTAGAGGAGTAATATGGGGATGTGACGTCATGCTCGCTGTCCAGTACGATGACGTCATGGGAGGTGACGTTATGCTTGCTGGGCGAGGCGATGACGTCATGTCTCCTCTAGGTACTTAAGGGGGACCCCGTGACGAAAGTAGGGTCACTTTGGGAGCCCGGGATAGAGAGCGGTTGAAGAGCCAGCCAGGGGTAGAGCTCAAGGAGTCTGGAGACAAGCCGGCCGTAGTGATAGAAGGTGCTGCTCTCTCTGGTCGGTGTTGGCTGAACCCCCGATCCGACTCGAGAGAGAGAGCCCTGGAGCTAGCCGAGCTAGGAACAGACAGAGTGAAGGTTCGTGTGAAGAAACCTAGTGAAGGACCCCCTACCCCTGGGGAAGTTATCCGAAACGCTTAATAAATAACTGGCGCAAGCCCTTAACTGAAAACCTGCCTCCGCATCGTCATTTGCACCTCAACATTTGTATGCGAGTCCATGTGTGTGTGTAAATCGATGTGTGTGTGTTCGAGTCGCTGTAGGTGTGTACGTCGATTTGTGTAACTCCATGTGTGTGTATCTAAAGCGAATGTCTGTGTATGTGAGTCGATGTGTTTGTGTGTGTGGGTCGATGTTTGTGTGTCTAAGTCCATGTGTGTGTGTAAGTCAATGTGTGTGCGTGGGTCCTTGTTGTGTGTAAGTCCATGTGTGTGTCTCTTAGTCGATGTGTGTAAAGCCATGTGTGCTTAGGTCCATGTGTGTGTGAGAGTCTGTGTGTGCGAGTCGCTGTATGTGTGTATGTCGATTTGCGTGTGTAACTCCATGTGTGTGTATCTAAAGCGAATGTCTGTGTATGTGAGTCGATGTGTTTGTGTGTGTGGGTCGATGTTTGTGGGTCTAAGTCCATGTGTGTGTCTTTCGGCCGGGCAACGCCGGGTACTTCCCGCGAGTACTCTTATACAAGCGCACTTCATCTCTCTGTGATGAACGCTGCACTTTCCATCGTTTTCATGCAGGGGGCGCTGTAAACCTATGCGCCCCCTGCATGAACGCGGAGGCACAGAGACAGACGGTCGATCACGTTGGAATTGATCTGCAGACGGCAGTCTTCTGGCACGGCCAGCTCTGTGTCGCCTCATCTCAATCCCGCGATCCCAACCAGGTGAAAGTCCGCATCAAACCGAATCCCCGGCAAGGCCATCTACTTAACGACTAGAGAAAATTCACACGAAATGTCGTTTTCAATGAAGTCTTCCAGATGTAAAATGATATAAGCTTTTATTGAAGAAACACAATTTAAAACATAATACAATTCAAAGTTGTTTCATTTTGAAACTTCAAAACGGAGCATCGGGAGTTTGCGTGAATGCATCTTTCATGCGCAATTTTTCGTGACTTTCCTGGCCCAAGGCCGTAAATGGTTGTGAGGGGGCTGTAGGCGGTCAGGCTTGCTTCACCCCATGGTTGTGAACATCCAGACGTTAATCAGCATGGACCATTTCTTGTCCTAGTTCGCCAACATATAAGACGTCATGCAAAATTCTAATGAGTGTTGTTGTGGATAATGTATCTACTAGATGTGCTCTGCCTTGTAACCAAATACAAATATGTACCAAAAATGCACTCCAAATGTGTTCTTAAAATTACCTCCTTGCTATGAAGCAAATCAGCAGACACGAAATCTTTCATTTATCGATCTCTCCACGAAACAAAGGAATGTTTTACACAAACTATAACTAGCACAGACTTCTGGGAGTGCGTCAATGATTCAGTGCAAGCCACATGTGGACCCTTATTGGTGCACAGCGTCTCAACAGCAGCCGGGCTTGCTTCAACCAATGGTTGTCAACATCCAGACGTTAATCAGCAAGGACCATTTCTCGTCCTAATTGGACAAAAATCTACGTCAACACATAATACAAAATTATAATTCGTGTTGTAGAGAATGTATCTCCTCTACGTGTAACTTTTGAGTGGTATGCCTTGTAACAGATGAATGATCCTAGTGTGCTCCCTATTTCAAAGACAATGAGTTGCTCCAGAGGGAGATGCTTCCTGAAACCACAAAAGTACCCTTTGACCTGTATCACAAGAACAATGAGTCTCACCTGAGTGATCTGTACAGGTTACTCCAAAAACACACACTTTGTCCTAACATGACTTAATCAATGTTTGACCCTTGTAGACAAAATGTTACATGTACGCACACAATCAGACTAGTATTCATTCTAAATTATTGACAATCATTTTTACGAAGTTAAATTACTGCACTGAAATATGCTGCATCAGGTTAAATCGTATTAACAAGATAAACAAAAAACACTGTCTGCTTAAGTGTATGTACAACATACTAATGCACCATTCAAAACGAGTCGGCCATTGCATGCTGGCATCTGGGTAAAATTTTGCAAATTCTAAACATTACCTACAAACTCCACAACCAAGATGCCACATCAACCATCGCCCCCCACTCACAGGCTCTTGTCCACATGCAGGCCGGTGCAGGGCCACCACCTTGTGCCACACAGGGGCAGCTGCCACTTGGGGATGCTCTTCGAGTGTTTGAGACGAGAAACGATACAAAACTACGAATTGCCGAGGCAATTAAGCAAGCACAATATAAATGCAATTATGATAACATAGTGAATGCTTGGGAGCTTATTGGCTCTCGCTCCTGGTTAGAGATCTACCCAACACACAGGTCCACAAAGACTGGCCGCTCTTACCCTGCAGGTTGAACCTAGGAACCGAGTTTTTAACTTCACATTATTGTCATTAAAGGCCTGTGACAAAGGTGCATCTATTGGAGCAACATCGTTTCAGGCTTGCGCATCTCCCGGGTCTCCATTTGACTTTGTATTGTCTCGGAGGAAGTCCACCCACACCTCCACTTCCACAAACTGCTGGGAGTTGCTTCGCTCTGCCTCACATTCAGAATTCTCCTCCTGCTTCACGTTGCCTCCATCGATGTGAAGGTCCGATTTTGGAGTTGAATCTTCATCTTCACATTTTACCTTCACTTCTTCGCTCTTCACCATGACTTCTTCACATTTCACCTTCACCTCTTCATATGTCACCTCGATACCTTTAAAAGTTTCCAAGCTGGGATTTTCTTCCGGTTCTTGTTTCATGAGAGATGGGCTCATTGAGGCACTTTGACTTTCACAAGCTGATATCAGACTCCGCTCCTTGTGGATATTATGATGCTTGTGTGTTCTCTGGTGTTTTTTAAGAGTCGATGAACTTGCAAACGCCTTCCCACACACACTGCACTTGAAGGGTTTCTCTCCCGTGTGTGTTCTCTGGTGTTTTTTAAGAGTCGATGAACTTCCAAACGCCTTCCCACACACACTGCACTTGCAGGGTTTCTCTCCCGTGTGTGTTCTCTGGTGTGCTACAAGAGCAGATGACATTGCAAACGCCTTCCCACACACACTGCACTTGAAGGGTTTCTCTCCAGAGTGTGTTCTCTGGTGTGCTACAAGAGCAGATAACTGTGCAAACGCCTTCACACACACACTGCATTTGAAGGGTTTTTCTCCCGTGTGTGTTCTCTTGTGTGTTGCAAGAGTAGATGAAAGTGCAAACGCCTTCCCACACACACTGCACTTGAAGGGTTTCTCTCCCGTGTGTGTTCTCTGGTGTGTTACAAGAGTAGATGACTTTGTAAACGCCTTGCCACACACACTGCACTTGAAGGGTTTCTCTCCCGTGTGTGTTCTCTGGTGTTCTACAAGAACATATGACTGTGCAAACGCCTTCCCACACACACTGCACTTGAAGGGTTTCTCTCCCGTGTGTGTTCTCTGGTGTGTTACAAGAGTAGATGAATCTGAAAACGCCTTCCCACACACACTGCACTTGAAGGGTTTCTCTCCCGTGTGTGTTTTCTGGTGTGGTACAAGAGCAGATGACTTTGCAAATGCCTTCCCACATACACTGCACTTGAAGGGTTTCTCTCCCGTGTGTGTTCTCTGGTGTGTTACAAGAGTAGATGACCATGCAAACGCCCTCCCACACACACTGCACTTGAAGGGTTTCTCTCCCGTGTGTGTTCTCTGGTGCCGTGTCAAATGTTCAGGACAATTCGTGCTGTATGAACACCGGTCGCATTGTTGCCTTGTCGCACCGAGCTGCGCCGAGTGCCTTTGCTCCATCAGACCAATTCTGCAGAGGAAAGTACAGAGGAAGCGTCAGTTGCAGACAGAAAAAAAAATATCTACACGTCAGTATCGATGCACAGAGGAATGCATATACACAGTCACACGTGACTTACACGTCAATACTTATTTATATATTCATGATATAGTGAAAAAGCTTCCCAAATTCATCACGCGGGCTGTTATGGCACACAATGAGAGGGCAAATGGTCACAAATTTCGGCTGTCTGGCTACGAAAAGAATATTTATGAAAGCTAAATTCAGTTGACATAGCAAAAGGTGTTGAAAATAATACTATTTGTGTTGTGCAGAAATTCATAAATTCATGTTCAATCGCAACTTAGATGTGTGTTGTATATATAGACCTTTTCCAAAAATATATATTGAGAATAATTCGACCCATTTTTTTCCTTAAATAATTAATAAATGAAACCAACACTCAACTCCGCTACCCCTCAAACCACACCAAGCATCTGGAGGTCATTAAACAACAAACTTCGGGGCAAAGAGGGGTTCGCGACTATCTGGAAATCTCCAGGCTGGCAGATGACCATATGACATGACCTCCCCGGACGTTTTGGACAGTTCACAAACAAATCTCCAGAGCACATAGCAGAGACAAACGGACGTTACAACTCGCATTTTCTTTAACGGCAAAAGTTTGAAACTCGTCAAAAAGAACAAATCGACGTTATAGACTGCAGTCTATACGAGCGGCTTTATACTGGTAGGAACGAAGTGGACCAGACACCAATAGATTATATCGTCCGTCCGTGTAGCAACATCGCCCCCTACTGCAAACACTTGGCATGACCCTACAAAAACCTTGAGACTCAGTGACGCTATCCTGGCTAAACAAGTGTAACATTCCCTTATAATTCCCTCAGATAGCTTTTAATTAAAACATTTAAATTAATTAGGCTTTCCTGGCTAAACACGTGTAACATTCCTTATAATTCCCTGAGATAGCTTTTAATTAAAACTTTGAAATTAAATAAAAAAACTCACAGCGCCCTAAAGCCTACAGCTAGGCCTAAAGCCTAGAACTAGGCCTGAAACTCTCCCTTCGTATCGTACCCCCGCGTGTGTGAAAGGGAGTTAATGTTTCACAATGTTACATTCCCTGATTTTTTAAAATAGAAACATTTAAATTTCAAGCTTTTACATTAATAATTAAAACATTTAAATTAAATATTAACTCACAGCGACCTAAAGCCTACAGCTAGGCCTAAAGCCTAGAAATAGGCCTCAAAGTCTCCCTTCGTATCGTCCGATTAGGTGTAGCAACATCGCCCCCTACTGCAAACACTTGGCAGGATCCTACAAAAACCTACAGTGGGGCTTTCCTGGCTAAACAAGTGTAATAATACATTATGTTTATATTCTTTGATATTCGTTCCTACCAGCCCACCCCGCAGGGTCCTGTTTATTATTTATTTTATTTCACCCTTATTCAACTCGTATATCATTTTGTATTGTATCTTTCTATCCATGTAACTTCACCAAGAGAACCAAGGAATGTGCATTCTGGTAGACAAGAAAGTGAGCGCTTGGTTATATCTCCAGCCTCGGGATATCAAAATATAACTCAAAATAAAACACCGATCCCTGGTGACACAGACTTACAACAAAGCTTGGCAAAACCCTCGGAATAATGGTAACAACGAGGGGCATTACGAATCTTGGTTCTTGGTTAAACATGAACCAAATAATAACCACGAGATATTAGACCCGGGGTAACTCATAAGAGGTACAAGAAATAGGTCCAACACACACAAGACCAGATAATATGTATTCCATGGAATCAAAGCCTCCCCGGCCACCTTTGTCTTCCAACAATTTGACACAAACACATGGCAGCCACAATTACGTATGAAGGGTGTCTGGCCTTGAGCTAACAAACACAACGAAGGGGGAGGGATGCCAACAAGCATAAACTTAGATGGAAAACAGCCCATCCGGGGTCATCAAGGGAAGGGGGGGGGGCATTCAGGCGCGGCCGCGGAGAGAGGACGGTGACAGAGGGCATCTGTTTTTTTTCTCTCGCAAGAGACGCACAGATATAACCAACGACACAGATCAGATCATGCAATTCAGTATTGCAAAGGGGCAAACTCCGGGGCATGGCCTCGAGATCAACCATGGGTGTCGTGTCTCGTGGAGCGAAGGGACGATGTGTTGTTAAGAGCTGAGTTCGGTATGAACTGACAGAGTATCGCTGAAAGTTTATTCTACATTCATCCTGATGTTTTGAGTCGCTTGTGGAATCGAGGGTTTGCGATAAGTTGTATTGTACCAAGCTATCAGAGTTGCGTAAGAGGTGTGCTAATACAATTTACAAGTTTTGAGAGTAAGTGATCCAGCCAGCGACGAGCAGCTCACAGCAGCAGCCCTCTTAGAAGAAGGGTGGAGAGCACGAAAGTTGAGCAACGACAAGGCGAAGCCCCGAAGTGAGGGCGGGAGAGGTAACACAATGCCAGTGCAAAACTGGCAGCTGCACGCCAAGGGCGAAAGCAAGGAGAGAGAAAGGAGAGAGCACGGAGCAGTGGAAAGAGCCTGAGCCAGCGCAAGCCCTGAAGTAAGGGCAGGTGTCCGTGTGAAGCTGGCAGCTGCACGATCAAGGAGAGAGCACGGAGCAGTGGAAAGAGCCTGACCAGCCGCCCATGAGCAAGAGTGTCAGCGCCAGCGAGAGCGCCGTGGGTTCGACCCACATACACACCGACCAGCACCAGCTGGGAACCAATGCCAGAGTGAGGAGCGGCGACCATCAGACAAGCTGCGCGCGCTATCTGATGACGGAATCATCGCACACCGCCGACGGCGAGCATCACGCCAACTCAACCAGCAGTGAAGAGAGCTGCAACGCCAAGAGGAAGAGTGCCGTGTGTTTAATACACACACACACGTACACACAGCTACACACACACACAGCTACACACACACACATGTACACAGCTACACACACACACGTACACACACGTACACACAGCCACACACACACACGTACACACAGCTACACACACACACACGTACACACAGCTACACACACACACAGCTACACAGCTACACACACAGCTACACACACACACAGCTACACAGCTACACACACACACAGCTACACACGTACACACAGCTACACACGTACACACAGCTACACACGTACACACAGCTACACACACACACACGAACACACACACACACGAACACACAGCTACACACACACACACGTACACACAGCTACACACACACACGTACACACAGCTACACACACACACGTACACACAGCTACACACACACACACGTACACACAGCTACACACACACACACGTACACACAGCTACACACACACACACGTACACACAGCTACACACACACACACGTACACACAGCTACACACACACACGTACACACAGCTACACACACACACACGTACACACAGCTACACACACACACACGTACACACAGCTACACACACACACACGTACACACAGCTACACACACACACACGTACACACAGCTACACACACACACGTACACACAGCTACACACACACACGTACACACAGCTACACACACACGTACACACAGCTACACACAGCTACACACACACAGCTACACACAGCTACACGTACACTCAGCTACAAAGATCCCCGTATAGCCTTAACAGACTGTAGGGTCAAGTGCTGTTAGCGAGCACCTATGAAGGCCAGAACGGCACACGAGGGGGTGGGTGGCCAGCACCACGCCCGACCGCCTTTGTCTCCCCAGTGGCGACGTTTACACACCGCACCAGGTACTCATTTAAGGCTGAGTCGACCTAGGGGAGGCCCAGGACCGGTTCAGATAATCGTCACTGGTGTTGGCCGTGAGCGGGAATCGAACCCGGGTCGCCAGGTTCATAGCGCAGCGCGCTAACCGCTACACTATTGCTCCCCACAGCTACACACACACACGTACACTCAGCTACACACACACACAGCTAAACACACACACACATACACACAGCTACACACACACACGTACACTCAGCTATACACACACACACACGTACACACAGCTACACACACACACGTACACTCAGCTATACACACACACACTCAGCTACACACACACACGTACACACAGCTACACACACACACGTACACTCAGCTACACACACACACACGTACACACAGCTACACACACACACACGTACACACAGCTACACACACACACGTACACTCAGCTACACACACACACACACACGTACACACAGCTACACACACACACACACAGCTAAACACACACACACATACACACAGCTACACACACACACGTACACTCAGCTATACACACACACACACACGTACACACAGCTACACACACACACACTCAGCTACACACACACACACTTAGCTACACACACACACGTACACACAGCTACACACACACGTACACACAGCTACACACACACACACACGTACACACAGCTACACACACACACACACGTACACTCAGCTACACACACACACACGTACACTCAGCTACACACACACACACGTACACTCAGCTACACACACACACACGTACACTCAGCTACACACACACGTACACTCAGCTACACACACACAGACCCGTACACACAGCTACACACACACACACGTACACACAGCTACACACACACACACACGTACACACAGCTACACACACACACGTACACACAGCTACACACACACACGTACACACAGCTACACACACACACGTACACACAGCTACACACAGCTACACACACACACGTACACACAGCTACACACACACGTACACACAGCTACACACACGTACACACAGCTACACACACACACACACACGTACACACAGCTACACACACACACACGTACACACAGCTACACACACGTACACACAGCTACACACACGC